TATATATATATATATATATATATATATATATATATATATATATATATCCCAGGCAGGCCTCCAGCTCAAGACTCCTGCCTTAGCCTATCTGACTGGTAGGATTACAGGCATGTATCATCATATCTAGAATTTCAAGGTCTGGTTCAGACTCTTCTCAGCAATGTTGGTCAAGGAATCATAAAACGGACGAGCCATTCAGTCATAATCCTGCTGAATCGTCCCCATAAGAGAGGGTTTCTCTGTGTAGCAATGGCTGGCCTGGAACTCATTCTGTAGACCAGGCTGGCCTCGAACTCAGAGATCTGCCTCTGTTAAAGGCATGCACCACCATCGCCTGACTCTCCTATATTTTCCAACATGTATAGAAGCATAACATTTTCAAAACAAACTGCTTATTGGATGTGATGGTGCATGCATTTTAATCCTGACATTTGGGAGACAGAGGCGGGTGAATTTCTGTGAGTTTAAGCCCTACATAATAAGTTCCAGGACAGCCGAGCTATATAAAGACCCCGTCTCAACAAAACAACTCCCAGACCCTAAAACATTTATTTTGTGCAACCTAAACAGCCTTCGGTGTCGCCAGGAATACATGACCATGTTTTGATGAATTTGCAGCTTACCAGCCAGAACCTCCTTCCCACCTCCCGGTGCTGTTACCCCGAATTATCACACCCAGTAGAGGATCTGGAAGAGTAGAAGGGTAAATTTATTCAGGTGGGCTAGTCACAGAGGCCCACAGAAGGAGTTGGAGCTGGAAGGATTTTACCACTTGCCCACTGGATACCAGGTAAGCCGAGAACAGATATACAAGCCAGCAAGGTCTGGAGCGAGCCTGGCATTTTTTGAAGAAAACGTCTCTCATCTTTTTACTGACCCACCTCACTGGAAAGTCTACCCTGAAGGTAGGTGGTGATTCTACTTTGGACGAGAGTTGAAGTCCCGGTGAAAGAGGGAAAGAGGCCTGCTGCTACAGAGACTGCTGAAAGAAACCAAGTTTGGGACACCGGGATGGGCAATGTGTGGTCTTGAATAGTTTTGACTCCCTGTTCCTCGTCCAGGTGATCTCTGTTGTCACACAGTGTTGTAAACACTGACAGAAGAGGAGAAAGAACTCAAGGCCCCTCTGTGTCTGCACTACTCTGGCCAAAGGTCATTATTATTATTTTTTATTTTGTTTTGTGGGAGACAGTACTGTGTAGCCCTGTAACTCGGTCCATAAACCAGGCTGGCCTGGAATACACAAGATCCACCTCCCTATGCCCCCAAATGTTGGGGTTACAGGTGTGTGCTACCACCACCCGGCTCTTTTAACCTTTTTTTCTCCCCAGAGGTTATGGCATGATCCCAGCCAAAGGTCTCTGAGGAAAACACTATAAAAACCGAGTTCCAGAGGACAGGGAAATGACTTTGGTGGACCTGGGATGGTTATTTTCAAACTCTGTCTTGTGATGGGACTCAGAGAACATAGCCTGGCCTGGAGTCTCCATTCCCTTCTCCGCTGGTGATCTATGTCTGTTTCTCCGGCAAGTGAACTCTTTTTCCACTGCTTGGGTTCTGCAATAATCCTAACAGAAAGACCTGCTGCCCTGACTGCCCCTGCCTAAGTCTTGAGCTTCGATAAAGCTGACCGGTGTCCTCGAAAACGCTCGTAGCTCCGCCTTGCATTGGGATGGCTCAGGAGCCCTAAATCCAGGTTACTGGAGGGCGAGCTTTAGCTCCTCCCACTGGCGGGGGCGTGTCCCAGAGGCCCCGCCCCAGATCCCGCCCGTTTCACCTGACTCTCGGGGCGCTGCGGCGTTAGATCCCCCGCACCGAGCGGCTGCTGCGGTCCACGCTTCTTACTCAGTTCCGACTTGATCCCACCGCTGTCATGCCTCGGGGAAGCCGCAGTGCTGCTGCCAGGCCGGCCAGGTGTGAGGGGGACAGGGACCTCGTGGGGACCGGTGAGGGAAGCGTGCGTACTCTCCCAAGGGCGTCCGCAGAATGACCTTGGAGTCTGCTGCGCCATGTTGGCTGGGGGGAGGACGGGGACGCAGAAGCGCGAGTCTAAGACGAGGGTCGCCCTGGTCCCTGGGGTAGAGGGGTTTGTTCCCGGAACATTAACCCTGTGTCTCTCCTCTTGCTTCCTGCAGCCGCCCAGCACCCCCTCCTGCGCACCCACCACCCTCGGCGGCCGCCCCCGCACCTGCCGCTTCGGGCCAGCCGGGTCTTATGGCTCAGATGGCATCCACCGCCGCAGGCGTAGCCGTGGGCTCAGCTGTAGGACATGTCATGGGGAGCGCCCTGACCAGTGCCTTCAGTGGGGGCAGCTCAGAACCTGCCCAGCCTGCGGTCCAGCAGGTGAGCGGGAGGATTCAAGAGAAACGGAGGCAAGACTGGCTCATGGTTGCATAAGGAGATGCTTAAGAGTCCGGTGGGGAGTGACCCAATATGCTCAGAGTTGCCTCAGACCCAAGGTTTTGAGGGTCCTAACCCTCATGGTCGTTAACTCTACTGTCACTCGCTGGAAAGCTCGCCCCAGCCCTCATTTGAAGGCACACTATCTGACTGTCAGAGACTGACATCCTCTAGATCTTTTAAAGAGAGAGAACACTGAAAGTTCGGGTGGGCACAAAGACTTGTCCAAGGGTGCCCAACCCTAGCGGAGCAGGGAGAGACGCAGTATTTCCCAAACCCTCGTTCTCACCAAAGCCCAGCCTGCTTTCACCCCATCTGTTCCCCGGGTGACCTGTGCCCCACAAGGCTTCTGCCACTCCCCACCAATCCTGAGCCACATCCAAATGCTAGTTAGCAGTGTGAGTCCTGGGTCAGGAGAATCCGTGTGGCGAGCCAGGAAGGTGCTGTAACTTGGGGGGAAGGGCTTACACTCTGAACACATGTAGTGGACAGCTTTTTCTAGAACCTTCTCTTTCCTCTCCTGCATTTGCCCAACATGTCCATCTGGAAGCAGAAAGACAGCCCCGAATGTATCTGTTGAGCGGCCTTTAGAGGGCCGCTGGTTCACCCTGGATGCAGCTGAGGCTAGAGGGGGTAGTCTAGTAATGCCTCACTCAGCCTGCCTTGAACCATTCTTAGGATGCTAAGGGCTAGGAAGTCAGGTGAGGGAGGAAGCCTCCAGCTTTGGCACTCAATTTTGGATACCACCTTTGAGCTTACAGTTGCCTCTTATTCTGTTCCCCAGGCCCCTGCCCGCCCTGCCTCTCACCCCCTGCAGATGGGGCCCTGCTCCTATGAGATCAAGCAGTTCCTGGACTGCTCCACCACTCAGAGCGACCTAACCCTGTGTGAGGGCTTCAGCGAGGCCCTCAAACAGTGCAAATACAATCACGGTGAGCAGCTGTCCTGGTGCATGTGGGGGTGGGAGGGGCGGACCCTCTGGTACCTGCCGGCTGGCTCATCATCATCGGTTTGTGCTGTGGTTCCCTCCACAGGTCTGAGCTCCCTGCCCTGAAGAGTCTGTGGGCTTGCTCGTAGCCTAACCCCTCACCGACAGCTTGATGGAGAAGACATGGTCCTTGGGACTGGGAGTAAGGAAGGACAGTTCTCACCCCACAGACTAACAGGAGACATAAATGTTCAATTAAAGAGTTTACTTTAGACCACAGCCTGCTGTGCGCCCGCTTACTGTGTGCCCTGTCTGCTGGGAGGCAGGATCGGTGCTATGCCTCATCTTTGTGGAGGTGGGAGAGAGGAGGTGTGTGTATCTGTGTGGGAAAATCTTGTTATGTAACCCTGGGCTGTCCTTGAATCTCTAGGGTAGGAGGAACCCTGTTATCTGCATGGTGGATAACCAAGGACACTCCTAAGTGGGGGAGAGGGAGAGGCATTTGCAAGTGGCCCCTGGGACTTAAAACCTCAAGAGGAGCCTATTGTCCTTGCCCACAGGGACATCTGTGCCTCCTCTCTTCTTATTTTGTCCTTGGATCCTTCCCTCTGCACTCAGATGGGGTGCCCGGGCAGGGTGGGGGGCGGGGCGGGGGCCCTCACATCCTGTCTGTGACCTTTCTCTTCTTGCTGATGTAACTTCTTAGTAACGCCAGATTCTGAAAGAGGAGGCCTGCTGGATTGCTGTCTGTTTGCATTTGATCATAAAGCGGAGGTCAGGGCCAGTCCCCTTGGATTCACGTCCAGCTTGGCTGTGGTGTGGCCAGGTCATAGGACCTGTGGGAATGGAAGTATGCCCTTCAGACCCCGGCTCAGACTGCTTCATCACACTTGCTACATTCACTGGGTTCTGTCAGCAACTATGCACTGGGCACCTACTGTGTGCTAGGCTGGAGAATACTCAGAGCGTTTCTCTCTCTCTCTCTCTCTCTCTCTCTCTCTCTCTCTCTCTCTCTCTTTCTTTCTTTCTTTCGGTTTATCGAGACAGGATTTCTCTGTGTAGCCTTGGTTGTCCTGGAACTCACTCTATAGACCAGGCAGGCCTCGAACTCTCGAACTCAGAAATCTGCCTGCCTCTGCCTCCCAAGTGCTGGGATTAAAGGTGTGCGCCACCAGTGCCTGGCACTCAGAGCGTTTCTGCCTTGAGGATGCTTATATTCCAGCAGTACAGCGGGGTTTATTTATCTCTAGTTACAAAGTGTACAGTCCTGGATGCGTGCACCCGTGAAAGCTGTACCTCCCAGCATTTAACTGTCTCTCAGTAAAGGGTCTCCCTTTCTCAGTTTCCCTACCTTTTCTGTACCTCGCTCTGCTTCCAGTTAGCGGTTTCTAGATGAGAGGGAGGTCACCCTTCGAGACTTGGAAGAGGGACCTTGTTCCCGGTGGCCACGTCGGACGCCCGTGCGTCTTCTCGGACCATTGCTTGTGGTTGGAAAGCCAGCGAGCCAGCATAGCTCCTCTGGAGTGCCCAGGAAATCCAGTGGTTGGGATCTGGGCAGATGTGTCCCCACCCAAACTTATCTTACTACTCACCTGCTAACTCTGGATATTGGTCATCCAGGTTGTCCAGTAATGACTCATAGTGGGTGAGGGTCCCATCTTTCCCTTCTACAGAGTACAGAGAGGATAAAGGACTCTAGACCATCTGCTGGATACCGTAATACCCTTTATTTTGTATCCGTTCCCTGGCCCAGGCTCAGGGTTAGGACAAGCATTAGATAGGGATGGTTGGGGACAGGATCCAGGCAAGGTTAAGGCCAGGCAGAATCTTAGTTGGTCTGTGGCCTACTGTCCCATCCCTCCCCCCCTTTTTTTTTTTGGTTTTTCGAGACAGAGTTTCTCTGTGTAGCCCTGGCTGTCGTCCTGGAACTCACTCTGTAGACCAGGCTGGCCTCGAACTCAGAAATCCGCATGCCTCTGCCTCCCAAGTGCTGGGATTAAAGGCATGCACCACCACCGCCCAGCCCCATCCCTCCCTTATAGTGTGACACAGCTGCAAAGGAGAGTCTTGGGCTCCACTTACTAATGACCTGTACCAGGACATAGGTCCCTTGCTCCTGTAGCAGGGAACAGGCCATGGAAGGGGCCTGGGTAACTTCCTCTTCTAACTTCACAAGGTGCCCATCCTCAGCCAGGAGGGCAATGGTCACTGGGAAGACAAGGGAAGAAGTTGGACAGGCAGTATCCTGGCATGGGACCCTAAACCTTTCCTCCCCAGACCCTCCAGGCCTTCTCACCATCTGGGGGGACCTGGGCCTTCTGTTTCAGATGCACAGTGAAGTTCACCAGGCTGCACCGGGGGTTCACCAGCTCCTGGCAACCAGCTAAGGAAGGGACAGAGATGAATGAGTAGAAGTCACAGCCTCCTCCAACTAAGAGAACTTCCACTCCCACGCCCAGAGACATCACTAGGATTATGGGGCTAAGATTCAGCTTTAGGCCCGGTACCCTAGACGAATGCCACTCCAACTGTAGACTTTTTCGTTCATCTCTTGCTGAGTAGAGGGTTGGGGACCACAATGGAAGTCCTCCCCAGACTCTGGCCCTGCCACTTGTCCTTTCCTCTTGAGAATAGCTTTCTCTACTCCCCCTCCCCCTCCCAGTCTGTATCTCTCCTTCTTAGGTCTCTAGGGTAGGAGACATAACTCCTGAGTAAGGCTCCTATGTTCAGGGATTGGGGTATGGGGGACTCGGCTTACCTCCAAACATCACAGTGACAAACATCGCTGTGGAAGGAAGGAGACAGATTCATGGAGCTTTGAGCCTCCTCCTCCTGCTCCTCTTCCAGTTCCCACTCAGGAACTGTGCGTGTGGGTTTTGCTGCATTAGGTGGGCTTGGCTCCCGGCTCCCTGGTCTGGCCCCCTGCTGACCGACTGGCTCACCTAGTCCAAGACCACAGGCCTCTTCTTTCTTCTGCTGCTTTCTGGGTGGCAGCAGCTCCTTCAGCTTCCAGTGGTCTCCATGACAGTGGGAGCTGCCCAGGCATCTAGGCAGGAAATGCTTTTATCCCCAGTATCCTGGTAACTGGACCTACGGGGGCGGGCCTCAGAGTGGAGCTCTGATCAGAGCCATAGCCCAGGCTCCAGACTGATGTTCCTAGGTGTGGTGGTTTGAATATGCTTGACCCAGGGAGTGGCGCTGTTAAGAAGTGTGGTCTTGTTGGAGGAAGTGTGTCACTGTTGGGGTGGGCTTCTGAGACCTTCCTCCTAGTCGTGTGAGAGGCAGTCTGCTCCTGGCTTCCTTTGGATGAAGATGTAGAACTCTCAGCTCCACCTGTACCATGCCTGCCTGGATGCTGCCATGCTTCCTGCCTTGATGATAATGGACTGAGCCTCTGAACCTATAAGCCAGCCCCAATTAAATGTTGCTTTGGTCATGGTGTCTGTTCACAGCAGTAAAACCCTAAGTCACTAGGATACCCTGATACTGTTTCAGAGACCACGTCTCCTATCAGAGACAGTGTGCAGGCTGCCTGGGTGTGGGCACCCTCACCAATTGCTGAAGGCCCCACTAACAATGACCTCTTCCCACTTTTTTCTCTTTTTCCCAGCCTTCCAAATTATTTTCTTCTGTTCTTGTTTCTTTTTGTGTTCTTTTATTACTCATGTTTATGGAGGTAGAATTTATATTCCCCTTTGGAGTGTTTTAAAGTTAGAAACAATTATTTACAGGAACTTAATTTATGTATGTGATTTTGTATGCATGTCTGCGGGTTATTTTCTTCTACCCTGTAGTTCCTGGGGCTTGAACTCGGGTTGGTCAGACTTGGTGACAGGCTCCTTAACTCCCTGAGTCATCTTGTGGACGTTGTTTTCTAGTTCTGACGGATCTTTAATGATCATACCCAGGATACAGAACATTTCCATCAGTCTCTTTTTCCATTGGCGACTCTCGGAAATTGCGAGACGAAAAATAGCCCTTAAGTGGCCATAGTGGCACACACCTTAGATCCCAGCCCTCAGGAGGTGGAGGCAGGCGGATGTCTGTGAGTTCGAGACCAGGGTGGACTATAGAGGGTGTTCAAGGACAGCCAAGACCATACGGAGAAACCTTGTCTTGAAAGCAAACAACAAAAAACCCAAACAAATAAAATATAAAAGAAAAAGAAAGGAAGAGAGAAAGAAAGGAAGGAAGGAAGGAAGGAAGGAAGGAAGGAAGGAAGGAAGGTCTTTAGATCTTTAGATTCTGCCCTCCTAACCTAACTAACCTGGGTGGCTGTTGGTGGGGGTTTTATATATTTATATATTATTTATATATGTCTAATGACAAGAGCTAACCACAAAGATTGCCACAATCACAACTTTGCACAAAGGCCACCACGACCTTACAGAAGAGCTCCCGCAAGGTCATCCACCCAGCAACTGTGTGTTTAGTCTTGGACTCGGGCCACCCTTGTTATTGATCCTTGTAGCCAAGGATTACTGTTTCAAAATGCCTTACGTAATCCGTTTCACCTTTGAAAACGTCCTCCTGCTTCAAGCCTCCTTGAACAGCGCCCTGTTTGCTACTGACTGCACGCATACAGCATCTTTAGAGAGTCTTTCAGGTACGTATGATCACCCCTCCTCCCTGGCATCCACGGCTGTTTTCTGCCTGTCTTTGCCGCCATGGCGTCCCGTAAGTGGGCTCAGAGCAAACAGCCCCGGGGTATATGCTTTCTTTATGAAACCTGATCCGGTTGTGAGTATCTGTAATTGCTTCCCTTTTGTTGCTGAGGGGTGCTCTATCGTCTGGGAGATCAGGAGTTTGTTGACTCATTCGCCTGCTGCTGTTTTGGAATTTGGGGAGATGATGAATAAAGTTCGTGCAGACTTCTGTCAATGTGTCTTTGTGTGCTCAGCTTTGTAGGGAAGTGCTTGTGTATTTTCCAGTGTATACTTGGTTTGCTTTATCTTGTTTTCTGTCTTTGGTTGGCTCTGGGCCTCCTAGATCTATAGCAGGCCACAAGTACACACACACACACACACACACACACACACACACACACAACTTCTTTTGTATCTAGGGACTCACAGATGCTAAGTACTCACCAGTGAGCTGTAATCCCAGCTATCAACAATGCTGGCCGGCATTCACTGTCCTATATTTTCCTGTCTCTCTTTGTCTTCCTCCTTCCAGTCTCTTCTATGTTCTATATTCTCACATTTAACTCCCCCCACACCCCCTTTTTTTTGTGTTCACCTCTGTGGTTATTTCTTACTTTCTTTTTTAAAATTCTATTTCTCTTTCCTTTTCATATATTGCCTCTCCTGTCTCTCTGCTCCTCTGTTCTTCTGTCTTCTCCTCTCCAGGAGCCTCCACTAGAATCCGTAGTGTCAGAAGGGTACTCCATGGTTAGGCTGTTTGTTCTGCCTCCCATGGGGACATCTCTGGATGGGTAAGAAGGGGTTTGGGTCCTCCATAGTGCTGACCCACTTTGCCCATAGACAAACACTTCTATTTTGTTAGCCTGGGTATTTCCATCTGAAAAAAAAAACCGGAAATACACATCACAGCTCAGCGGGGTTCTTGTGATGCTGATTTCAGCTTTCACAATACTTTCTTGTTGTTACCGTTAATTGAGGCAGGGTTTTGTACGTAGCCCAGATGGTCTTGATTCATGATGTTACAGAATTAATGCGCCTTCCCAGTGAGAAACCACCCTACTCGGAAATCAGCGGTGGAAAAACTCAATAATAGCACATGATTGGTTCCAGCTAATGTACAAAAGGGGCCCAGTCTCCAACAGAAATACCTTTTGACTTATATAGTTTCACGGCCCCAACATACACTTGGGGCGATTAGTCATGTTTTACAGGGACTGAAATTCTAAGGTTTGGCTGTTGGACAAATGGGGAGATTCCGATGTAACATTGTTGCCAGAGTTATCACGAGACAGACCACAGACGCTTTTCCTGGGCAGCTGTTTGCCATGGTCATTCTCCCTGGCTGGCAGAATTATGCTCTTCCTGATAGAATGCACGAGCATTAACTGGAGACATCAGCCAGGCAGAGGCATGATCTTGTAGCTATTTTAAAAGCAAGTTTATTGGTAAATCCAATAACATGTTTTAAAAAAAGATTTGTTTTATGTATGTGAGTATACTGTCGCTGTCTTCTGACACACCAAAGAGGGCACCAGATCCCATTACAGATGGTTGTGAGCCACCGTGTGGTTGCTGGGAATTGAACTCAGGACCTCTGAAAGAGTAGTCAGTGCTCTTAACCACTGAGCCATCCCTCCAGCCCGGTAAATCCTTTATAACATCAGTTTATTTCTCTCATCTCCTCCTTCAGTGTCATTCTTGCTTCAGCCGGATAGGTGCTTGGATTAGAGGTGGGTAGCACCGTGCCCATCTTAAATGTCCTAAGGCTTTAAAACCTATCTCAGTACTTAGTATGCAGCAAGTACTCAGAACAGTACTGTAGAAGCAAGCAGTACTTGCAGAGCTCATTTGCATATGGGGTATTGTGTGAGGATAGAACACAACTTAGATGCTCTAAGTGTGAAGACAGTGCTACCCAGAGCCAAACTCTGGAAGGAAAGACATGGAGGACCAGAGGGCTTCAGGCTCGGAGAGTTACCATTTCCTGTTCTGTTCTTCCTGACTCAGACTCAGGTGGCCTGGCCTTTCTGAGATTTAAGTTGTTCAGAAAACCAAAATCAGCTAAACAAACTCACTCAACATTAATAAGAATGTTTTTGAGCTGGGTATGGTGGTACCCAGCATGTTTAATCCCAGCACTCAGGATGACAGGAGGAATTTTTGAAGTTTCATCGGTCTTGATTAAAGACTAGACAGATCCTGGGTGTTTAAATAAGGAGAAAAAATTGTGATGTATGTGTAATAGATCATACACAGCTATGAGAATGAAGGATATATTTCTGCACACACATGGATGATTGGTTGCTGTTTTGAAGCAGGGTCTTATTCTATAACCTTGACTGTCCTGAGACTTGTTACATCCATAGCTCAGGCTAGCCTCAACTCACAGAGCTTCACCTGCCTTATTGGGATTAAAAAGCTAGTGCCACTGTGCCCTGCCCACATGGATGAGTCTTAATGTTGTACAAAAGCAGCAAACATGCACACACACACACACACACACACACACACACACACACACAGAGAGAGAGAGAGAGAGAGAGAGAGAGAGAGAGAGAGAGAGAGAAATTCTATTAATCGTAAAATCTCTACAGCAAACAAAATTAATCTACTGTGACAGAACCCTGAATGGTGGTTCTGTTGGAGGTTGTCTTGGTCAATTTTCTGTCACTATGACAACTACCTGAGGTGACCAACTTATAAAGAGGGAAGGTTAGTTTTATCTTATAGGTTTGGAATGTCAGTCTATGGCACCGTTGCTTCTGGGCCAGTGGCAAGACAACACATAATGGCAGCAGCATGGCAGAGAGTACGGGGTAGAGCAACGTCATGGCAGGCCAGGTAGCAAGAGAGAAGATGGCCTTCTATATCCGAAAGGGTGTGGCCTTATTGATCTAAAGATGTCCCCTTGAACCTATATCTTCAACAATGTCAAGCTGCGAACACTCGGGTCTTTTTATTATTTAATGTATTTGAGTACACTCTTAGCTGCCTTCAGACATACCAGATCCCATTACAGACGGTTGTGAACCACCATGTAGTTGCTGGGAATTGAACTTAGGATCTCTGGAAGAGCAGTCAGTGCTCTTAATCGCTGAGCCATCTCTTCAGTCCAACACTTGGGTCTTTGTGAGGACATTGTAGAGCAGTGGTGCTCAACCTTCCTAACGCAGCAACCCTTTAATACCACCTAATGTCGTAGTGAATGCCCAACCATAAAATTTTCATTGCTGCAGCATACCTGTAATTTTGCTGTTATGAAGTGTGTTTTCTGATGGTGTTAGGCAAAAGTGACCCCTGTGAAAAGATCGTGAGACCCTGAAAGAGGTTCAGACCCACAGTTTGAGAACTTGCTGTTCTAGATCCACACTGTACCAGGGGTAGTGTATCAGTTAGGGTTCTCTAGAGTCACAGAACTTATGGAATGTCTCTCTATACTGAGGGAATTTACTGTGATGACTTATAGTCTGCAGTCCGACTGACCCAACAACGGGCAGCTGTGAATGGGAAGTTCGAGAATTGAGTAGTCACTCAGTCCCATGAGGCTGGTTGTTTCAGTTGGTCTTCTGTAGAAGTAGGTTCCAACAGGTGGGCTGGCAAACAGCCAAAGAGTGAATCTTCTTTCTTCCAATGTCCTTATGTAGGTCTCCAGCAGAAGTTGTGGCCCAGATTAAAGGTGTGCACTACGACGCCTGAATCTGTCTCAGGCTGACTTTGAACTCAGAGATCTCCTTGCTTCAGTCTCCTGGAATCAAAGGCCTGTACTACCTTGTTTGGGCCTAAGCTTTTCATAGCCACTGTGCCTCAAGATCTCCACGGGAAGATCCAGGTCAGAAACTTGTGCCTTCAAGCCTGATCCATCTGGATCATAGGTGAGCCCTCCAATTCTGGATTGTAGTTCATTCCAGATAGAGTCAAGTTAACAACCAGGAATAGCCACTACAGGTATAGACTAGGAAAGGGTCTGAGGGGCTCTCTGGGGAATGCCAACTTCTTGCAAATGGATGTGAAGGTTTCTGATTCCTGCTGGCTGAGTTGTCAGGATATTTGGAAGGTAGGGCCTGACCCTGGCTTCCTTCAGTCAGTGGGCTGATTTGCATGCTTTATTGTGGTCCAGAGACTTCCCCACCCCTGTACCACAAGCACCCACGGCACAGTACTGCTGAACAACACTTCTGGCCATGGCCCGCACTGCTTGCCCGCCTCTCCTTCTAATGGGGACCTTCTTAGCAGGTAAGACACATCTAGGAATGAGGTGTGGGTTGGTACCAGCTCTGAAAACCCCATGCAAAGAAGAAAATCAGTGGGGTAAAGTGGGGTGGCTCCTGGGAGAGGAGCATTGAGGTAGAGCGGAGACCTGGCTCCGGGCAGCTCTCTCCAGGATTAGGGGCAAGGCACTTTCTGTGTGGACCTTGGCTTCCCAACGGGTCCGCTTAGACGGTGGTCCTTCAGAGTCTCTGAGGAGAGGGCAACTTTTTGCCTTTGCTTCTCACAGAGGAGAAGCTAATAAAGATGGGCAGCTCCCTGCTCCACAGACCCTTTCAGGCAATCCTGTGTGGCCAGCAGTTTGAAACCCAAGATGACGGTTATGCATTCCGGGAGGCTTGAGGGGGGGCAGTTACCTCATAGCCGAGGTTTGGAAGAGCTCTTAGTATGAGGGGCAAGAGTCCACGGAGAAGGGGGGGGGCCAGTATGTACTCGAGGGACCTAGAAGGTTACACTTGAATACTAGGCTCTCAATTGAACATGGGTTCTTGGAGACAGGACAGTAGTGCTAATTTAGGGGCCACTCGTTCCAAAGTCCCCATTCACAGAGGAAGATAGAACAGCATAGTGAGCAAAATTATGTCTCACAGAACCAGGCCCACCATGCTCCAACCGGAGTCAAAATCCCATGACACCGGGCCCCGAGGAATTTGGGAGTGAGAATCCTTGGGGGGGGGGTCCATAAAATATTCGTATCGAGGTAGGAAAGAGTCCAGGCTAGCTTTCAGTGGATCTGTGTCTTTCAGTTTTTCAGACAACCCTGACCCAGCCTGATGCATTCCTGGTCTTCCCAGGCCAAGAAGCTCAACTCAGCTGCACAATCAATTCCCAGCAAGCCACCGTTGGAGACACTGGGGTATCGTGGTATCAACAGCAGCCAGGAGGTCCTCCCCAACTTCTCTACTACTTCTCAGAAGAGGAACACTATCGACCTGCCAACATCCCTGACAGATTCTCGGCTACCGTGGACGCGGCCCACAACGCCTGTGTGCTCACTATCAACCCTGTGCTGCCGGAGGACGACGCCGATTATTTCTGCTCCATCGCCCACGCCTTTGAACCCTAGGGCTGGGTTGAATGTCTTCTGTCTGTCTCCTCTTTTTTTTCTCTAAGTCTTGCTTTCCTTCCTCTGCAAAATGAGTTAATAACATTCGACAGTCCTGAGGACCCTGAGTGAGATCCTGGGTTTAAAAAAAAAAAAAATGTCGAATCGGAGGACGGGGAGGTTGGGATTCTGATTGTTGTCGAAAGCGGAAACAGCTGAGACCCTTAGGGAACGTGGCCCTGCCTCGTCCTTATCCCCTAGGGGTTTAAGTTTCCCTCCTGACCTTCCAGTGACCTGAAGGTAGAGAAACAGGAACCAACAACCCCCTCCCCCACACACCCCCCAGTTCTGCACGGCTGATTGTGGTCCAACGCTCATGGTTCTTGAGTGGCGGGTCCCCACGGAGTTCATGCTAGGGGAGGGGCAGCTCCTGCTTCTCTTCTCAAGTCTCTGGGCAGGTTCCCACCGATCCTTGATGGTTAGAGGCAGGTGTTCTCAGGAGGGCCCTGAGGGTCAGAAACGAGGATATTGAAAGCAGGTAGGAGATGAAGCAGCATCCTTCCCCCCCCCCCACCCCCCTCAGAGACAGTATGTTCTACTGATTTCCTGGAGCAAGTTTTCCCACAGATGGGTAAGCACACCTGAGCAGTCATGGGCCAAGGGTGCCACAATTGACTCTAGGGCAAAGTTTGCTGTTAGAACAGTGGGACTGGAGCTTTCTAAAACATTCCTGAGCCAGTATGGCGGAGGGAGGTGGGTCTCTGTGAGTTCAAGGACAGCCTGGTCTGCATAGGGAGTTCCAGCCAGCCACAGTGAGCCCTTGTCTCAAACCGAAACAAAATTCTTGGGCTGGAGGGGGGAGTGTGAGGGGGAGTGTGTCTCAGATCAGCGATAGAGGATTTGCTAAGTATAAACGGTGGCCCTGGGCTCAACCCCCAGGATAGAAAAAGCAAAGAAACACACATAAAAACCGTACCTAAAACCAGACATACCCAGCTACTTCCCTGGTGCCCTGAAAAAGTACCTCGTTTTTGGAGATGAACACCCAGAAGCCGCTTTGGTGGCGTTACAGAGTCCCAAGAGGGTCTAGATTACATTCTTGACTATCTTTTGGTCCTTCACCCCCTTCACCTCATTGTGGTCTTATATGAGCGGCGGGGGACTGGCGGGAGGGGACAGGTCTGGCTAGGGTTACCTTTGATTAACGCCTCTTGAGCCAACTAGCCTCAAGGAAGGTTCGGCAGTAATTTGAGGCTCCAGATTCGCCTTTCCCGACCTCAATATTTTCCTGCGCACTGTCCAACAACGCGCGCTCCGCTCCGCTGTGCCCAACCGCCAGAACGTGCTTTAGGGACACCAGGCCACGAGCGGCCAGGCTCAGCAGCAGGAGCACAGAGATGAGGAGACCTCCGTGGGGCCTAGAGTAGTCCCAGAAGTGTCCGCGGGTCGGGGAGGGGAGGGTAGGTTGCTAGGGGTGGTGCTGGGTCGAGGGGTGGGGGTGGGGGACAGCTGGGGAGCAGGGCTTCAGGTCTTTGGGGAGCCGGATGTGGCTCCACCCCGGCAGCCAGCACGTGGCCCCATCCCAGCCCAGGTGCTCCCCCCTCCATCCTCTCTCCTGGTCCTCCCGGATCCACTCCACCAGATCCACCTGTGGCTCAGTTGATCCACCGTGAGGGTGTCCCAACTGGTGCACGGTCTGTGGGGAGCAGTGTTGCCTCCTGGTGTGCGGATCTGTGGCCACTCATGGGCCTCCAGCTTGGAAACCCTGATTGCACCTAGCTTTTGCCCTGCGCCCAGGCACAGGGAGGGGTATAGATTCCCAAGAGAGGTGGGCGGTTTGGGATTTCAGATCTTTGGATTTTCAGTCTGGAGACATTTAACAGCGTTGGGGACCTCTCATCTCCACTCATTAAATGTGGGACCGCCACACGTTCCCAGTCAGTGTTACTAAATGGTCATTACGACCACTGGCGGGTATGTTTAAGGACCGACTTAGAGCGTTTGCTGGACACGGAGAGCCTGCCAACTGGAGATCTTTGGCAGCGCGCGGTGGTTCTGTTTTTAACCCCAGCAATAGGCAGATCTGTGTGAGTTCGAGACCATACTGGACACAAGTCAGTCAAAGCTTCACCATGAGATCCTATCTCAAAACTCAAATAACTTACAAGCTTGACTTTTGTGTGTGTGTGCGTATTTATGAGTAGACAGCGACACCTGGTGGGGAAATCTAAGCAATGTCAGACCGTGTCTTAGAATGTGGGGAACAGAAACACCCCCATCTCAAGGGGGTTTTTCTCGTTAAATCTGCCCATCCTTTCTAGGGAAGATTAAAAAATTGGAGAGGTACGAATAGGTCTCCTTCTGTTAGTACGGAGTGATTTCGCTCCTGAGATTAGAGTGAGAAGTTACCTCCTGGAGCGATATTGCCCCCGGGTGGTTCTTCAAATCCAACTCCAACTCATCCCCCCAAAACTAAAAATTCCCAATTTAATATCTAATTTGTGATTTTAAAATACAACTAACTAGATTTTTTTTGCTTCCAGTGTGATCTACTACATGGATACTCCTGAATTTTTCAAAATGTTTTTTTCCCTTAGGGCTTAGGAAAAAAATCAAAAATCAAAAACACCCACCCAACCAACCAAACCACAAACAAACAAACCCTCCAGCAATCCCATCCCCCAAACTTTACAGTGACCATGACTTTTCCCTTTGGTGCCATGGTAGACGGTGGCAAGTCATTCAGTCATTCAGACATTGCAGAACACCAGCATGCTGAAAGTCGGAGTTTATCGTCTTTATTTTCTCTGAAGGAGTCGGGTAGTTTCTGACACGTTATTTATTCTCCAATGGTGAAATGAGCCAATTCAAACCAAATTAAAAAGGCAGGTTTAATGGGAAGCAGCTCTCAGGTGGGTCTACTGGTCCTAAGGACCAAATGAGGTCAGGGAAGTCGCCGTGGGAAAGGAGACAGAGGGGAGGAAAAAGAAAGAGAGAAAGACCATGCATGCGTATGTGCTTGTGTGTGTACACACAGGGAGAGATGGAAAAGACTTACTGGGGGGAAATAAGAACATTTGCTTTCTTACAGCAATAAATAACTATTAAATTGTTATGTTGCAATGTTTTTATTCCATAAATTCTTCTTTCTCATACGATATACCCTGAGTACAGTTTCTCCTCACCTTCTTGACCATCTGGATCCCTTTCTGAAGGAGAGACTGTTTTTACTACAGACTTCCTGGTGTTCTGGCTTTTACAATCTTTTGTTTGTTTGTTTGTTTGTTTTTTGTTTTTTTGAGACAGGGTTTCTCTGTGTAGTTCGGGCTGTCCTGGAACTCACTCTGTAGACCAGGCTGGCCTCGAACTCAGAAATCCGCCTGTCTCTGTCTCCCAAGTGCTGGGATTAAAGGCGTGTGCCACCACCGCCCGGCTGGCTTTTACAATCTTATCAATCACTCTTTCCTTCTCCCTTTCTTCCCTTTCCTTCTTTTTTTTTTTTTTTTTTTGACAGCGAATGTGGTTTATTGTGGGACTATTTATTTATTTTTACAAAGACTAAATTTTCCAAACTACAACTCAGCTTGCAAATGACACAGAAACAGACCTACCATCTAGTGAAGCGGGTGCAGCAGAGGAGAAGTGCTTTAAAAGTCCCCCCCCCCACACACACACACAAAAGGATCAGAACAGGGCTGGAGAGATGGTGTAGTGATTAAGAGCATTTGCTGTTCTTCCAAAGGTCTGGAGTTCAGTTCCCAGTACCCACATGACATCTCAGATGTACACACAGAAAAGTATGTGTACACACACACACACACACACAAATAATGCAATAGAAAATTTAAATTTGTTTATCTTATGTGCATTGGTATTTTGCCTACATGCATGTCTGTGTGAGGGTGTCAGATTACAGAATTATGAGGAGCTGTGAGCCACCATGTGGATGCTGGGGACTGAACCCAGACCCTCTGGAAGAGCAGCCAGTGCTCTTAACCACGGAGCCATCTCTCCAGCCTCTAAAGTCAGTCTTAATGGGTCTAATTATTTCCATCCAGGTAAAAATCCTTGCCATTTAGGCAGCACTGTTATTGCAGTCCCTGGCTGACATCTACTGCCCTTGACCTAACAAATATTCTGTTAATGTATATATTATATACATTTGTATATCACATGATGGCTCATATTGCTTGTCAGCTTTGACTACAACTGGAATCAATTAAACTTTAAACAGCTGGGTACTCCTGCAAGGGATTATTCTTGATTGGATCATCTGAGTTGGGAAAGACCCCACCCTACATCTGGATCTTTTGAGGAGGGAAGATTGTGTCCTAAAGCGAAGTCATTCAAGAAGGACATTCAAGAAGGAAGCTATTGCCTTTTGCCAGATTGCCTTCTCTATCCCTGGCAGGCTCATCGATCTTGCTGCCCAGGCATTTTGTTTTCCATCGGTATTTGTTGTGGATTTGATTTATTGCTTGTACTAAGTTAATTGGGTTCTCAAAATCACTTGGGAATTCACACGCGTACTCGTAAGACACTGAGAGTCCCTGTCCGCAGTTGGCTTTTATTGGTAGGTAAAGTTGCTGGAGGCAAAGACTGGGTTTGGAGACAGAGGTGGGTTGCCTAGAGAGATGGCTCAGCGGTTTAAGAGCACTGCCTGCTCTTCCAGAGGTCCTGAGTTCAATCCCCAGCAACCACAGGGTGGCTCACAATCATCTGTAATGGGATCTGATGCCCTCTTCTGGTGTGTCTGAAGACAGCTATAGTGTACTCAATATATATAACTAATACATCAATAAAACTTAGGAAAAAAAATACCCACATGGAGACAGAGGTGGGACTTTTAGAATTCCAGGACAAGAAACATGGGAGGGTTGAAAGAAGATCGTTATGCCAGAAAAGAAAAGAAAAGAAAAAAGATCCAGGCTTGAGGCAGCAGACGAGATTCTTCCCTGGCTCTTAGCTGATAGTATGCTTTCTCTTCCCTGCCCAGCCCATACAGAGAAAATAAATAAGTTAAGAAGTTGAATTGCTGCCGGCAGTGGTGGCGCACGCCTTTAATCCCAGCACTCGGGAGACAGAAGCAGGCAGATTTCTGAGTTCAAGGCCAGCCCGGTCTACAGAG